TATAGGAACTACACCGGAACTAAGTAAGGTTTATAATATCCACGCAAGATAACGTTAGTTGTAGAACATTAGTCGATATCGGAACTAAGCAGTTTATAATGTTTTCACAAGATGGCGTTAGTTGTAGAACATTATTCAATATTGGAACTAAGAATGTTTACACAAGATGGCGTTGGTTGTGGCACTTGATATTGGAGCAGGAACTGGTAGGAAGTGTTACAGTTGTTTATAAAAGATAATTAAAAGGCCGGCATCGCACCTGTGACTCTGGTGTTGATCCATGGGCGGCGCTCATCGCTTACTTACCATCAGGCGATCTGTACGGTCGCTTGGCCCCATAAAAAATCTCCTCCATAAAAAAGGAGCGAAGAATTTTTTTTTATACATGATATCTTGACGTTTGGCCACCATCTTGCCTGGTGGTAAGTCAGTTCCTTGGCCTTTAGTACATTATCGATCCTATTAAAATAATTGCTTTGACTTCCACTTATGTATGTGTAGTACGCTGTGCTGCAACCTATGAACTATAATTACAAAGCAGATGATTAGTAACATTGTATGCAGCAGCAATTACGTCTAATCAGTACGTAGCGTAATATTAAAGTGTAGGAAACTCTAATCTCGTATGAATAGGAAGTTAGGATTAGTGTATCAGAGTTCAGTAGAGAAATATGATAAACGTAAATTCCTAAGATTGTGATGGATGGCTTATTGAATTTGTTTTTATGTAGAATAGAATAGAATGCAATAGAATATACTACTATAATATAAATTTTATTGTCTCTCATTGTTGTCTACGTCATTGATTCAAAAGGTTTTTTTAAGTGTGAGTATTGCATAATGAAGCCGATTATGTATAACACAATGACGTCACAATGCACATGTTGTATTATTATGCATTTTTGTTTGTATCAAAATTGTAAAATAATAACTCAACATTCAGGTAGTTGACTTCACAAGTTTAAAAAAAATCAGCCCTAAAAGTCGATTTTTCAAATAACAGTTAACTCTTATCTGTATGGAAGAATTGTTAAATATTCAAAGTTATACATTTGATAAAATTTAACTACCGTTGGAAAAATCGGAGCAAAACCCTTATTGGGTTTACTTTTTGATCATAGTTAAATATACTAATTTAGACAATGGTCATTGGTCATGAACTTAGTCCAGTCTACATATAATTTTGTTTACTCCAACCTCGTGTCCGCGTTATATAATAAACACCAATCCAATATAATCTGTAACTAGTTATCAGATAAGGAAAAACCAGACGTAAAGATTAGCATTGTTATTGCCAATGTCAATAAACTGATATTCTTTCAATATTTTATTTATTCCGATCAACATTTTTGTTAAATTTGAAGTGTAAAAGTAGAAGTATATTTAATGTTTGCCTGCCTCGTTGGCCGAGTGGTCGCACGTAAGTTTGTCGGGCAAGGGGTGTCCCCGGGTAGGGCAAAGTATTACTGGGTTAAAAAAGTTTATCGCCGGTTGGGGTCCGCAGAGCTGCACATTATGGCACTTAATGCCACTGTATAATGTACCTAACATCCACTTTTCACTATTTATGTTGTGTGTCCCATGTATTAGGGGGTGAGCCTTTTACCAAATACCGGGCGCAATTCCAGATTCCGTGCTACTACTAATATTTTTTTTTAAAACCTAGTAGCAAGTTCTTTGCTCGACCCGGGAATCGAACCCGAGACTCCTTGCCCGACCTTCGCACTGGCGATAGTAGGTAAGGTCTATAATGGTGTAAATGGGGAGCAGTCATGGGTGACTGCTTGGATCTTGACCAGTATATCATGACTAATATTATCTGAACCCACACGTGTTTTTCACGTCTCAGATATCAGTGGAGCTTAGGACGTCATGGTACAATTGAATCGTTCACTTACCTACCATACGAAATATGAGTAACCAAGTTACGAACATGAGTAATAATATAAAGGTACCGTATAATTCTAGATACCGAATTGATTGACGGTTTTATTGAGGCAAGGTACCAACTTATCTGATATTGCATGATTTGCAGTTTATAAAAAGAACTTAACCATTATGATAATCACAATACACAGTGCCTAAATATAGAAGTTTCTAGGATTTATTAGGAATCAATACGCAAAATCATAATATAGTGACCAGATTGGCGACATATTAAAGAAGGGCCAAATTAAAAGTACCCTTAACCGACGAGCATGCATGAAAAGATTGATGACTGTTGATGAAGCGAAAGAGGTATGTAAGAATCGTAGTTATTGGCGTTCCTTAGTCTCTGCCTACCCCCATGGAAGACAGGCTTGAAGTTATGTAGGTATGTATGTATGTATGTCAATACGCAAAATAAATATAGAAAACGATTTTAAATACAAAAATAATATAACCGATAACCGTTGGGGTAAACGTATTCAAAAGTGTATACGCGTAGGCAAACGAAGTGTAGGGCGCCTTCAGCTAGGTGGAGTGACGACATCCGCAAGGTGGCTGGCAGTGGTTGAATGAGAAGAGCTGAAGCCCGAGCTCAGTGGCTTGCCACTGAAGGCCTATATCCAGCAGTGGACGAACACAGGCTGATGATGATGATGAAACAATGTAACAACTCCTTTTTTAACTCCAAATAAGAGTACATGGCGCCACTGTCGATTAATATCATTTCATCCAATGGGACCTACCGATTTTTGCTCACCAGATAGTGCTAGTGTGAACAACTCATTATTCGTCCAATAGGGGATTAGCTACTGTCACCAGCTTAAACTGTCAAATACCAAGCGGTCACCGTTGACCGCGACCTATTGTTCTTTAATTGTGTCTATAAAACCGGTACTCGACGAGTTAATGAGCTCAATAAGAGTGGAAGCTGTTGTGATAGGACAAAAAACTCATAACTTAACATCAAACTTTTTATCCCCAAAGGGGTAGACAGAGGTGCACATTACGGCACTTAATATCACTGTATAATGTAACACCCACTTTTTACTATTTATTTTATGAGTGCCATGTAATAAGGGGTGAGACTTATTCGTCAACTCGCGGTTCGAAAACTTGCACGTGCCCGCTAGTTGGCACCTTTTCATTTTACTTATTTTTGATGTCGAAAACTCGATGAAACAGGCAAAACTACTACTTTTGTACAGTTGGCAACATGAAATCTAATAAACGTACATACATATAATTAAGGTATATTATATTGTGAGGTCAGAGTAATTGGTCACCATTCTCATTCTTCCTGAAGGCGTTTAAGGGAAATTACATTGACTGCACTTTCTGATAAACTTGATCGTTTAAAATTACTATCTCCTAGCCTACTAAGCATGCAAGCCTACAAGCCTATGAATACAAACATTTTAATTGAAGTAGGTACTTATATGGTTTATGGAGACCATCTGTGGAATGTTATGAGCTATTGATGACTACACATCACGCAACATATCGTCACACAATTACTTAAGTAGTTCTAAAACTCTCTATTTGATCTAAACTCATTTCTATACCAAGCACGAAAAATCGGTTTGAATTCTAGGATACATCAATACATTATTTGGTTTTTATGAATCAAAATTCTCAGTAACACTACCAAGTCTGGATTTAGACCATGTATTTCAGAATACCAAATTTTTTTTTCTAAAAATTGTCCCTTAAGGGTTTGACCTAACACTTCTCCTGAACTCTCAGTTTCGCATCAAGCTACCTTCTTCATTCCTGGGTGTCTTTAAGGCCCGAGTGTTTAAGGGACGACGTGCTCCATCGTAGACTGCATCATCGCTTCCCACCAGGCGATATAGTGGTCGGCTTATCAAATAAAAAGCGTAATATTCCTTATGAGATTATTAACTTTATATATTTCCTTATTATATTAATAATTTTCCTTCTTCAGTTTTGAATTAAGCTTTACTTCAAGTCAGAAATGTTTTACTTTAAATTAAGACCCTAATTAATTATAAACAGAGTTGATAATCATTTCTTAAGATTGTATTATAAATCTTATTTTGAGAGGAAGATTAAATTGTGAAGTTCATCTTTATTGGTCTTTATTGATCAAGTGAAGACTTCCTTGATAAGAAAATAGTTTAAAATGAGCAATTTGATTAGAATGAGTATCAAACAAAGATTTATTTATTTATTTATTTATTTAAGGACAACCAACAAAGCATACACCAAAATACATGATAGGTTTTTTTTACATAATATTTTATAGGTTTTTTTTACATAAGATTTATTGGAAGAACATAAAATGTTACTTTATTTTCCGAAATAAAATAAAGAATTACAAAATTAAAAGTCAAACCAAATTCACAAGACTTGAAACCGTAAAAGTCAGTCTTAAAATGAAAGCATAGCTTAGATCATCTTAGATCATCGTCAACAGCCTATAAGTGCCCACTGCTGGCCAAAATCCTCTTCTCGCATCGTAAAGAATAATTAAAAATTATAAGCCCAGGTTTCCCCACGATGCTTTATTTCACCGTTTGTCAGTAGTGTCTAGATAAATAAGAAAGTACATATAACTCGGAAAAAGTTACATTGGTACTTGCCGTTGGTAACTTTAGAACCCGCACTCTCATACCTGAGAAGCGGGCGTCTTAAACCTCCGTACTTAGATACATCTAGTTATCTAAAATAAGTAACTCTACAATCTTCATACAAAATATGCCAATTCTATCTTTACTAACTAAATATACAGAGTACCGACAGATAAATCCAGTGGGCGTTAATCTCTGCTGATCGATCAAAACATGGTCATTTCGACCGAAATAAATTCTCAATACATTTTTAAACAAACAAAATAAAATTGGATTCTTTAATCCTTCCATTTACATAATAGCGTTGTCAGGCAAACTGTCAAAAACATGATAAACATATTATATCTAATCTAGGCCTGGTACGATTTGAAATCAAATTGTTTTTGTTGCTCACATAATCCGGAACCGACCGGGTACTGTGCACGTATATATGTATATTTATTAATTAATTACTTATTTTTTTAATTTTTTTTTTTTGTAATGGAGAATAGAGTTGTTAGGTTTAGTCCTGTGAGCGTGAAGCCTAAAGAAACCGTGACAGATGGTATGTTCTTGATATTCTTTTGTTTATTTTTTGCTATCTCAAAGGTCGATTTGTGAATAGGTTTTGATAGATAAGGTCTATAGTACATTCGAGACCGAAAATGATCGGGCTTCCTCGAAGCATAGGCTTTCGCGGGGAACCTAACGGGTAACCGGGGCTCCGGCTCGACGTGCAGGAGAAGGAACGGGGTAGTTTTTAGTCAGTAAGAGTCTGACACTCCCTTCCGCCTCACCCAGGCGGGAGAAGCCGTTCGATGATTTTCCCCCCCTTAAAAAAAAAAGCGTGGGCTTACTGTTACCAGTTGCCTTGCTCTATAGTTGTAATTGTCTACATCAACGACAGATGCTGATATAGGTAGTAAGTTATATGTTTTTTTCGACGTAACTGAGATAATCTCTATCACTTTGAGATGCCACATATCGCTTTGTTGTGACGTTGTAGAGGAAAAAACAAGCACTATGTTATTTATACTTTTTAATGTGAAAGAAAATAACGCCTTTAATTATTATAAAGTTGGTTTATAAAAAAAATAAATTATAATCTTTTTCACAAGACTGACTCGTTGGCTGAGTGGTCGCAAGCTCGATCGATTTCCGGGTCGGGAAAAGTATTGCTGGGATTTTTAAAGAAAAAAAACTCAGTAGTAGCACGGAGTCTGGAATTGTGCCCGGGCAATATGCTCACCCCTACATAGGACTTATAACATAAATAGTGAAAAGTGGGTGTTACATTGTACAGTGGCATTAAGTGCCGTAACGCGCACCTCTGCCCACCCCTTCGGATTATTCGGATAAACCGCGTGATGATATTTATTTATTTTATTATAAATATCTTCTATAACTAACTTAAAGAACATGTTGCTATAATCTTGACTGTTTCAAGTTTTATTACATAATTTAATTTTTATAAATCACCTTTAATTAGAACTTTATATCTATTTAATATTATTTCTTGGCTAATTAAATCTCTCTGGTTCAAGTTCATTCTTTACTTCCAAAATTGCTAGTTAATAAAAAATAAATTTATCAACTAATTAGTAGCTTTAGCGATTAGTCGGTTCAATGTCAAGATTTTTCGGTGATCGCAGGATCAATTCTTTATCTGTGATAAACAAATATTTTATCAGCACCCCATCGTAGTCAAAATATGGAAAAAGATCACGTGGGAATGTTTACGATTAGTCGCATATTTATTTTGAGTTCTTTGGAATGGTTATATTTAATTGTCGACTGCCTCGTTGGCCTAGTGATCGCAAGTGCGACTGTCGGGCAAGGGGTCTCGAGTTCGATTCCCGGGTCGGGCAAAGTATTACTGGGTTTTATGAATATTCTCAGTATTAGCCCGGAGTTTAGGATTGTGCCCGGTATATGGCAAAAGGCTTACCCCCTATTACACGGGACTTATAACAAAAATAGTGAAAAGTGGGTGATAAATTGTACAGTGGCATAATGTCCACCTCTGCCTACCCCTTCGGGGATAAAAAGGCGTGATGTTATGTATGTTATGTTATGTGGAATGTTTATAAATAGCTTTTGGATTAAAAATAGATATAAGAATACAATGTAATATGTTGTACAGTCATAATTTCTTGTGTAGAAGAACTCCAATCGTCCTACAGCAATTAAACACGTATTTACAGGTATTATAGCGTTGATTTATTCTATCTATATAAGAAAGAAAATAAAGAAAGAAAGAAATATAATTTATTATGCCACGACACATATGCTGACACCAATACAAGAACATATAATAAGAATTTCACGGTGCGTCATAGCGCACGTAACGCCTCTGGTCTTCCAGGTGTCTATGGGCGACGCCGATTGCTTACAGGGGGGACAGGCAGAGGCGCACATTATGTCACAGTACAATCTAACACCCACTTTTCACTATTTATGTTATGAGTCCTATGTAATAGGGGGTGAGCCTATTGCTATATACCGGGCACAATTCCAGACTCCGCGCAATTCTTGAGATCATTTTTATAAAACGCAGTAAAATTTACCCTACCCCGTTCAAACCTGAGACCCATGACGGCAGTCGCACTTGCGACCACTCGGCCATCGAGGTAGTATAAAAGTACCTATTTGAACAATACTAATTTTTCTCAATTTTCTTTCCACAGCCGAGCAAATATCCCGGCTAAGAGCTTCGCAGTCACCGCTCGCTATATCTCTAAGTCGGTGCCCTCAATGGTCATCGCTAGACACTTTGCAGTTTAAAGGGTATTGGGACAACGAAGTCAATGGCATCCTACTCAACAATGGCTCCACAGGTAATAATAGACTTTGTCTCTAAGACTTCAAGACTTTAAATACTTTGATAAGTCGATACGTATTAGTCTTTAAAGCCGTCCATTTTAGTTCAACAGAACAAGAGAATATTTTAAGCAACTAGATTTCGAAATTCAGCAACATCGGTGTGGCGTTTAGGGGCAAAGTGGACCTTTTATCATAGCAATCAGACCACCACAGATAAGGCCCAATAGGGCTGATGCCAACACGGAGCCGCGGAGGGTTTAACGGGTTGCCGGGGCTCCGGTTCGAAGTGCAAGAGTAGGAACGGGTGGTTTTTAGGCAGAAAGAGTCTGACACTCCCTCCCGCCTCACCGGGGCGGGAGAAGCTATTGGATGATTTAATTTAAAAAACCCCTTAAAAAGACCTTTTATCATCATCCTTTCACAATCTTTGATGACAAATGAAAATATTTGCTCATGAACCACGTTTCCATCAAGCCAATCATCCTTGATGATATGGTCATCCTTGAAACAACCTAGTAGAAACTAAACAATTAATCTAAAATTAATTTAACTTCACAAACGAATACTTTATAAAATAGTAAATAAGATACGCATTCGTTTATCATAGTTATCGCATAGTTTTGCGAACATTATCGGGACTGGAGTAATCCACTTTATCGATATTCTTAAGATTAATGTGTACGTCACGTGGTTCAGTCGCCTTTCAGGTGTAAATATCAGTATTATACGCTTTGGAATGCGGCACATAGTCCCCAGTAATTACATTTAACGGCAAGAACCTTTTTCGATAATAGGGATTAGTTTTACTCCATATTTTGTATACACATACATGTCCAAAAATGTTAGGTTTGCTCATTTGACGAGTGCATGCATTCGTGTTGAAGGAGGATAGGGAGGCATGTAGTGGGACGACCATGGTGGAAAATAAATACGGTGTTTGTCAAATGACAATAGGCAGCTTACGAATGACAAACGCACAGTTACTTTATTTTTTCTCCTCACACTTGTGCAGTTTTTACAATTTATAACGGCACAATTAACCATTTTTATATTTTTAACTGACGTCCGAGTAGCGCAACACACCGATGCAGACTCAGCGCGAAAGTGGCATCTTACGATTTTTATCGTAAGCTAGGCACGCGAAGTAGTTCCTCTCGCGTTGTATAGGTCTATTTGTATCATCATTAGAAAGAATGAAAACTCTACAGTCCACCGTAATGTTAAATACCTACCATTTTTGGTATGTAATATGGGTAGTAGGCCTTACTATTGTTCGCAGTTGTGAGTATGACTTCTAAAGCATCCACAAGATAGTCCAAGCATTTTTGCGTAGTTTATTATTGCAATCTTATTATAAATCGAAGGTTACAACGTATTTTGTGATAGTAAGACTTTCAGACGATAATAATGTAACTATTCTCTGCATTACATGTACAGAAAAAATCTGATATGATTAAAATTTATAAAGATTAAAATATTCCAAAGTTAAAATTAAGTCATAACTCTAATCTTAGCCCCTACATTTTACTCCCTACTACATAAGGTAGTCATCGAATCCAAGAATGCACTAAATAAGGAAGCCGTACGATAAAAATAATAATCAGAAAATATTACATAAAATAAAAATCAGTTAACAACTGTAAATGTTTTAGATTAGATTACAAAGAGTATCAGTTTTACGGCAAACACATTGACCATTATCGGAGCGAGTGATAATAATAATAATATAAAATCGGTTTAGTTTAGAGATTCGAGATAAAAATTGTGAATGTGTGATTATTGAGGTAGCTCGTGTACTTTGACCGTGATTTTGTTGTGATATTTATCTGTCGTAGTGGCTCGGAGGTTTAAGATACCCGATTCTCATGCATGAGGGGGTTGCGGGCTTCTACGGCAAGTACCAATGTGACTGATTCCGAGTTATATGTACTTTATAAGATTATTTAAACTTCCCTGGCAAACGGTGAAGTCTCTTGACTTCACCGTTTCCTCACGATGTCTTCATCGTGAGGAAATATTATCATCGCTCACCCGCTTTGAGCAAGCTTTGTGATTAATGCTCAAACCTCCGTTTGAGAAGAGGCCATCGGTCAGCAGTGGCTACTATAGGCTGTTGATGTGTGATGTGATATGCTATTCAATAATATCTACATAGTAATCCAAAGTATTGAAACTAGAAAAAATAGACAACTACGAATAGTTAAGAATATTTCTAAAATATGTAAGTATGTAAGTCTGTGGTTCAAAGGCTTGAATCACTGGGGATCGTTAGCATTAGATTTTTTTGCTTTTGTTTCTATTATGACATGATGAGACATCTTCTATGAAACACAAAGACTAACCGTGAACTAAGAAAAACTTTTCATGTCGTAGATTGTGGGAAATTTGCATTTTAAGTAACATTCCATTATAAACCTTATAAATTGTAATAAAAGTATCAGGTGCAAACGTAATCGTCGTGTTAACAGGATTCAATTTCGCATAACACACAACGAACACGTAAAAATATAGCAGACGATAACGGCTAATATATGGCTTCTAAATTCTATTGCCCGACTCTTCCAGGAAGGGGAGGGAAAGGCTATACATTCAAATTAAACTCCCCATAACAACAGAATGGAATGGCGTATTTTGCACAGAAATGTTCCTTCTGAAGAAATTTCTGCAATACCATTAAAAAGGTTAACTTCACTCAGAAACATACAATGTCTATTGAATATTACATTTCTGTTAAGTAAGAAACGAAATAGGTAAATTATATAAGAGCCTTTGTAATGTGATTACGAGGCAATTATTTCGAGTTTGAGAAGCATTAAGTCCGTTTTCGGAAGTATTTGAACATTGATTTTACGGATGAAAGTGGACAATTTTGTATTTATAGGTGTAATTGTGATTTCGAAATTGTATTGCTATTATAACTTCTGAATGACGGTACATTTTAACTATCAACCTTATTGTACTTGTAATAAGACACATGCTAGCTTTTACTTTATGTAACAGGTAGCCTAAAGTCATTCCCCGTATTTACACCAAGATAAGTTAAGTAAATAAAGAGAATAAAGAAGTGATAAACTTACTTTCGTAATTTTAATAATATGTAGTGATGACGTAATCAATCAGAGAGATGTCTTGAGTAAAATTTTCTATCTTAAACTGTCAAACACCAAGCGGTCACCGGTGACCGCAACCTATTGTTCAGGTACCTGTACAGGATTTAAAATCATTACACACAAAGTTTTTCACAAATAGAGCCAAAATTTTTTTAAGGGGGGAACCTCATCTACGGTGAGGTGAGAGGGAGTGTCAGACTCTTACTGACTAAAAACCACCCCGTTCCTCCTGCACGTCGAGCCGGAGCCCCGGTAACCCGTTAGGCTCTTCGCGACTCCGAATCGGCGTCGGCCGTGTTGGGCCCCACTTGTGGCGGTCTAAGGGCTATTTTGCTAGCTTCACTACGTCGTGGGATGAAAAGTAGCCTTAATGTTATTCTAGACCATAATCTACCCTAATCCAAATTTGGTTCTGATCCCTTCAGTCATTTTGACGTGAAGGCAATGACGTTGAAAAAAAGGCGGATATAGTCGTTTGAAACAACGACTGTGGTACCTGGCTACTATAGAGTTACACGCAAAACATACCTACACACATTGACACGAAGGACATCTGTCATCTTCTTAAGTCTAGTAACGTGTAGTAACACACGCAAACATAAAACAGACATGTTCTATTGTCTATTCTTTTTTTCTATTTTTAAGAAAACGTTGCCCCGCATTAGGATTTTCTCCTGTGTCGTGGGTGCGTTTACAAACATACAAGTTCGCATACACAATGACACTCAGACCCGAAACAACAATAATTGTTGTTGCACCAACATGATAATTATTATCATGATGGTGCTTCAATCGTTTTTAAGTGAAATTATGTCCGTCTTCTTTTCAACACTGCCTCGTTGGCCGAGTGGTCGCAAAGGCCACTGCCGGGCAAGGGGTCTCGGGTTCGATTCCAGGGTCGGTACAAAGTATTATTGTTTTTAAAAATTCTCAGTAGTAGCATGGAGTCTGGAATTATTCCCGGTATATGGCAATAGGCTCACCCCCTATTGCATGGGACTCACAACATAAATAGTGAAAAGTAGGTGTCACATTGTACAGTGGCATAATATGCACCTCTGCCTACCTCTTCGGGGATAAAAGGCGTGATGTTATGTTATGTTATGTTACATAAAAAAACCTCTGACATTTGCTGGTGCTTCATTCATTCCTAAGTTATGTCCGTGTTTTTTTTCAACATCCTTGCGTGAAGGAATAACAAAGAAATACACAAACATACAAACTTTTTCATCTATAATATTAATTAGTATGATAAATTGTCAATGTACTGTTACAGCATACTTCACATTTGAATCTGAAGTCCGACCAATCCTTCGCGGTGGACCTCTAATCGGCGAATACGTATTTGAACAAATGCACTTCCATTGGTCTGTCGACGACTTCTCGGGCTGTGAACACTTATTAGATGGACAAGGGTGAGTATCTTATAAATTAATTAATAGTTTTATTTAACTCGTAATCCACTAATGCCGGAATACTAAAACGTTACTCAATTTTAAGTCGTGTTTAAATATCGTGCCATCTCTGTCATTTCACAAAGAATTAGTGGTGACAGAACTATACTTAAGCGTGACTTAAAATTGAGTAACGTTTCAGTATTCGGGCATTAGTCTTAGAACACTGTTATTCAAATTGTATGTTTCAAGGCGATGGCCTTGCAAAAACATGTGTTACTAGCTTCTGCTACCGGCTTTGCTCCCGTTCCCATGGAATAAAAAATACCCTATGTGTTATTCTACCCCTGTTCAAAATCGCATACTAGTTCTTTCAGTCGTTTTCATAAATATACATACTGTCGCATTTATAACATTAATAGATGTTTTAGTACACGCTGTAGATTAAGAAAAACATTATATGAATAAACAGGATGTCTTTTTCTCAGATACGCAGCAGAATGCCACTTCGTACACTATAATAGTAAATACGAATCAATGGAAGCGGCGGTAGGACATCCTGATGGTCTAGCAGTAGTGGGATTCCTTCTAGAAGCTGTTGATGCTCCTAACCCAAGGTTCGACAGACTCGTCGAAGGATTTGAAAGAATCAAGAAGAGTGAACAATCTGTTAGAGTTACTTCAGGTTAGTGATGAGCTTCAGCTGTTAGAGTTACTCCAGTTTAATCAGCCACATAATCTATTATTACTGTTTTTATTTTAATGGTTGATGGTGGTGGTTTTTTAGTCAAAAGGTGGTTTAAAGTCTGACACTACCTCTCGCCTCACCCAAGGTGGGAGCCATTGGTTGAATTTTCCCCTAAAAAAAAGCCATCACCGAATAAAGATTAGGTGTAAGGTCTAAGGATATACCTCAAGTGGTTTTCAAATAACAGGAAATGGTGTTAAATTTTCACTTTTCGTACTACTAAAAGATGTAAATTTTTTTAGAAAGACAAGCATACTTAGTCCTTTTTTGCGATATCTTGAAAAGATATTCGTCCATTGTCGCATCGTTGATAATGTTGTAAGTGTTTATGTAAAAGCATCTTGCACCCGTTAATACAAACATTGTATCATAACATGGTAACCCTTTCACACTTCTCCATAAAAAATCAACCCTCATTGTATCATACGTAGGTACATATTTGTATACTTAAGAAAGAGGTACACACTTTCTCTTCACGTATTAATACATAGATGAGAATGGGTTTTATGTGGGTGGTTATTACACGAGGAAAATTGAAGAAACATTGCTTGGATCGATTGTTTGATGTTATGTAAGGGCGAGATATAAATAGAGTTGGTAGTCAACATAAGCTTTCTTTATTTGTTGGATCGACATGAGTATTTTACGTGGAAATTGTAATCAAGTAATTGTTATTGGAACAGTACTTGAACTGTTATTAGTGTAACTGATACTGAATTAGTATTATCTTGTATTCACCACAGGCGGCTAAAAGTGATAGGTACCACAATTTTTTTAAACCTGTTATCATAATTTTTAGCCTTTAGAATTTTACTCTCGACGCTTTAAATAGCAGCCAGTTATCAATTTTCCTGCACTAACTACTGTCGGCATCTTATTAACAAATTTATGTAATTTTGTGTTTCCAGAATCCCTGTCATGGATGGACAGCGATGACCTACAGGAAGGCAACTATGTCACATACAAAGGCTCGCTGACCACACCGCCTTATACCGAGTGCGTCACTTGGATCATATACGAGAAACCCGTGCACATTGGTACCGAACAGGTATAGTTTACTAACACATTGGACTTCTATAAGGCTGTGATAATAGCAGACACATTTTTTTACATTAGGTAACATATTTAAGGATAACAAAACACAATGCCGTACAAAATTTTAGTTCATTCTTGAGAGATATCATATCCTTCTTAAAAAAATAAAATCTTATAGACCTAATTATCCTTGGCTGGTCATTTTAATAGTCTACCACGAAGTCTATTAGTACTGTGAGTTTGGCAATAATTAAATTTTTATCGACTGTTCCTCATATAGATGCTAAAATTATCATACTGTATGAATTTTCAAATCCAGTAAGTCCTTTCCAGCCTTCGTACCATACAAATAAACCGATAATTTAAAATCACTAAGACTTCTGCCTTTTTGTAGGCATTTTGTAATCTATAATTCTATATTCACAGCTCGGTCTCCTAAGACAACTGGAGGGTCCCGACAGTATACCGATCGAACGCAACGTGCGACCAACACAGCGGCATCCACCCGGTCATTCCGTCATATACGTCAAGCAAGTCAAGTCGAAGCTCTAAAATATGTTTTATTATATTGTTGTTATGTTACAATATTGTTGTTTTATTTGTTTTCTCTTACAAAGTAGATGTTGCCCGTTACTTTGTCTGCGTAGAATAATGACTTCTGGCAGAATTTAGGCTTTTGAATTAGTTTTTAACTTTTTATCAAGGGATATTCTACGGTAATGAATGTCGTCAGAATTGACTCAGTCTCGTAGGTGATAGCGTGATAATATGTAGCCTATATGTTGACTCGACTTGCTAGTAATATTCATGCAAAATTTTAAGTAAATCCATCCAGTACTTTTTGAGATCATTCCGGACATACATAAAGACAAACAGACAATCAGACAAATATAAAATTGATATTTTTGGCTTCGGTATCGATTGGAGATCACACTTCAAGTATTCTTTTAAAAAAATATTCAATGTACAGTTTTGACCTTTTCTACGATTTTATTATATGTATAGAATAGAATAGATTGGTGATACTTTGTCATCGCCATCAGCTCCATGTGGAGATAATTTTGCAACTTTTCGAATCGATTTGCCCTTTTTCTTGCATAATCCTCGTCGTTGATAACCTACCTAATAATAACCCATCAAAAACAAATTGTCTAGTTTATAAGTGAAGGAACTAACTGCCGTACCTAGCCATCGTTTTCAGAACAAACTCGAAACTAAGGATAAAAAGTAATATCACCTAAGTCAGCCACAATGCCCTGCCTGTATATCAAATTTCATCAATCCGTTCAATAGTTTCAGGATGATTGACGGGTTAAACTCCAAACAAAGAAACTTTTACATTTATAATTTAGTGTGAAGTTTTAAGAAAATTGGAATGTTTTAACTCATGCGATACCAATTAAACTAAAAAACTTTATATCCAATATTTGACAATTGGGTAGTTTCCAGGGTATCAAAATTAAAAATCGAATTAATCCGTCAGTTAGATAACGAAAAAATATTAGACACGTATTTTTTATTTTCTCGTATTAAAATGGCGCCAAGTTTAGGAGTGGGAGGGTGTTACGTCATAACGTGCTACAAAATGTGGCACGCTGTGACGTCACACGATATTTCAAATTAATAAATGTATTATATTCGAAATAATTTAATTTTGTGACAAAAGAAAAAATACGTGTCTAAAGTTTTAAATTAATGCACCCTATTTCTAGATTAATGTAGCAGTCAAATACGAGTTTGTAAACCAATATTGAACACCGATTAGATTGATTGTATTAAGCAAAACAATAGTAGGGGGCCAAAGACAAATATTAGGACGTTGACGATTATAAACATAACCAGCATAAAACAGGAGTAGTTCGATTACGTGCTCAGAATGTCAACCAAACGCATTACACAGGCAGTCTGCTAGAAATTGGTACACAAGTTAGTGATCTTATGCAAACTCAGATATGGTCTAGATAGACTACATTAGAACTGCTAGATAGATTAGGGCGTACCAGAGAGTTTGTGGTACTGTAACTTGATGTAAAGATAAGTACGAGGAGAAACGAAAAAAGTAAAAGTCTAGGATTGTGCCCGGTATATGGCAATAGGCTCACCCCCTATTACATGGGACTCATAACATAAATGGTGTGGGTGTTTCATTGCACAGTGGCATAATGTGCACCTCTGCCTACCCCTTCGGGGATAAAAGCCGTAATGTTATGTTATGTTATGATTTTCAAGCTTACCATAGTAATTTAATCATAATTTAATTTGTGAAACAACTCGAAAGTAAACCTCTGTCTACCAATTAAATATGTAGGTTTGAAGTTATATAAACCATAAATCAATATTTACAAAAGGAATAGGAAACAGGAACAATGTCATTAACACAATCGTATCCTCTTACACAACTTGAACAAAACTCGGCCTCCGAGACGACAATATACCTTTGTTAAATGAGGCGATCATTTTCTTCCTGTTTACTTCTTGTTACAGCTGTCTGGGCGCTTCAAATTTATATTTTTAAGATTCTTTGGTACAAGCTGTTTAACTTTAATCATTTGTTTGATTACACGCTGTATTGTTCCGATTTCTAAAGAGAATGGCACACAATTTTGTACTAATGTAGCTACGAAAAGTAAATACTTTCGTTTTCTTTTCTTTTTTAATAAACGTTGCTCCCTTAGGATTTTCTTCTATGTCGTGGGTGCGTTTACAAACATACAATTTCATATGCACATGACACCCAGACCTGGAACAACAATCTGTGATTCACACAAAGAGTTGTTCCGTGCGGGAATCTAACCCGCGACACGTTGCGCGCCAACCATACAGTCAAACACAAATACAAATGTTAAACAAAAAATCTTTAGTTTTCGCTTTTATTATTAAATATCATAAGTATGTTAAGATGAAATTAATACAGCTACGAAGCATAATAAAGTAAGTAATATTTACAGAACAAAGAATTACATAACAGTTCATAATTTTTTTGTTAAAGTAAAGAAACATTGAAAGTAAACTGAATCAATTGAAAATAAACTTTTCGAATGGGCCTAGCCAAATAACACCTAATCAAGATGACGACAGAAATCAAATTCGATCCATCTGTTCAAATCTAAGCTGCTCAGTACTCCAGCACACAACTCTATGAAACAGGAGAAATGTTCGTACATTCTCAAGTAAAAAACATTTCGTAACATTTGGGCAGTAATCGGATCGATAGCAATAGTTTTACTTTTAGGCCTACGCAACGATGATCTGGTTGCTGGTGGTACAAAAACAAAAGAGTTTGTAATACGAGTAAATTCCCTATCGAACAAATCAAGAAATTGACCAAACAAACATTGTATTGTACGGAATTTCTCTTTCTCTACACCATCGCCCTCAGTCCAAGGTTTCAAGCATTCCGAGTGAGATAGACGTAGTAACTGATAATATTTCATTCTATCTTCGTATTCTTTTTCCATCATCACCTCTCTCCAAGTAGATATCGATAGGTCCCATTCTTTATCTGGAAGCATTTCTGTGTACAGGTCTTTCATTTTACCCACTTCTGTCTGATGATAATAGCACATTGGATTACGTAAAACAAAGAGTTCTGCTTCCACAAAGTATTTTTTATAGGGGTACGGTTCAAATTGTGGCGATGTTTCGAAAACGTTAACGAGTACCATCTCCATAATACTAATTGCCATGTTAAGATTCGCTTTCTTGTTAATTTGTTTTTTGAGAGCCCGAACTTTTCTATTTATCATCTTCACGTCTTCAACTGCATCAGCGTACAAGGATATAGTCATTTTATTAAAAAAATGTATATTACACAAACTTATTTCCCAAAACTCACTGTAAATACCAGCTTTGTCAGCTATAAATGTGAAAGCTATTTCTTTAGTCTGACCAGGCGATATTATGTCTTCATTTTTATTAAAAAAGAATACTTGTTCGTATGCATCTTCAGGTATGAAAGGTATATTTCGTTTGATTTTCTTCCAACAGTACCTTATAGTTACGGTTCCAAGATTCTCCATAGTCAGCTTGCACCTACCAGCTCTTTTGGCAGGGACATTAAAATAATAGGTCCAAGTAGAGCATTCCTCATGATTTTCATCTTCTTGGAACTTTGGAACATGAAAAAGACCGTGTCCAGGTACTGGTCTGTAGAATACTGTATTATTGATTTTTAAAGCATACACTGCATTAAGTGGTTCTCCAGGAGGATCATCATCATCTTTAATAACAATTTCTGGAAGTACAGGGTATTGTTTGGGTGGTGGTGAAGGAGTTCTGCCCCTTACTATTAAATTGTCTATATCTGGCCTGAAAAAGAGACTTATACTTAAGAAAAGTCGAACAAAGCGCAAAAAAAATATTCTGCTCAAAAAATTTGAAGTATTTAATTAAAAATAAAATTAAGTTACAAGTGAAAAGTAAATAATAAAATTAATCACCTGAAAGGGTCAATTTTCTTCAACTTCTCAGTAAGCTGCCCTTCACGGTAATCTCTGTACATTTCATACTCAGCGTTTAAATGAGTGCATGGATTACGGACAGACTCGCCAATTATTCCCATTTCGGTTTGCTGAATGTAATCAGGAACTCCAACATGTTCCAATATCCTTGGACGACCTTTCTCAGCAGCTGTTCTATGAAGCTCATAGGTTGGCTCACAAGGACATCTTTGCTTCAGTTTTTGGGGTCGTTCCCATAAAGATCCCCTTACACCAGTTTTTCTTTCAATCTGAGCATGTTCCAATGCTATTTTGCGTTCTTTATCATGGCGAACTTTATCAAGTAAATTCATAGTTAGATCTGCAGGTGGTTTATGCAGCCTCCTCCCTAGCGAAATTGCCTCATCGTTTCTTATTTGAATCCATTTTTCCCATTTTTGTAGTACCCGGTCTGGTAAAACTGGCCGCTTATGAATTGGTACATTGGCATCATCGTCTTGTTCCCTCATTTTAACTCGTCGGGTACCGGTTTTATAGACACAATTAAAGAACAATAGGTCGCGGTCACCGGTGACCGCTTGGTATTTGACAGTTTAATGATTGGGTACTTTGTACAAAATTTTATTTCGAAGAAAGCAATAAACGACAGGGATAAAACCAATTTTTACACAATCATGTCGTTTCTTACAGTTGTCAAGTTGACAAAGTTATAAAACGGTTTCATGACATTTAGTTAAAACCTCAAGATTTAAAACATTTTAGATGAAATAACTTATCTATACTCATTAGAAAGCATGTTGACGTACATCAAAGAGTATAATAAGTATAGGGGTTACGTACATTTTGACATTTGTCATGTACTTTCGATGTAAATTATAATATTTTTGGTTTTACATTTTATTCCAAATTCATGCAATCTTAAATCATGTTGTAAAATATTTCACTAACAAGTTTGAACCAAATTTCAGTTGAATCTTCCACAATGTCCAGCCGAATACTTCCAGTTCACTTACGTAAATTTGTCTTGTTTACTTATTTTCATTACTATCATACATCTAAGTTATCTGCACTAACACAACTCACTACACATTCATCTTACTTAAATTTACTCTATCATCTAGTAATAAGCGTATTTATAATAGTAGTAGTTTTTATATAATATATCACACATAAAAATGTGCCGCTTTTACAATATGTTAGGAGCCATTGGATGCAAAATTAGCGAGGCCTTTGTCTAGTAGTAGACATCCTCCGGCTGATGATGACGATGATGATGTTAATGAAATATCCACGATTGAATCATCATGAACAAGCTTTAAGCTTTCAAAATAATGATTATTACTTGAATACGAAATTCTACCTATTAAATAATACCTTCAAACCTTCAAAAAAAGACCGTATTCTTTTTTAAAAGGCCGGCAACGCACCTGTTATTCCTTTGGTGTTGCAGGTGTCCATGGGCGGCGCTGATCGCTTACCATCAGGTGATCCGTCTGCTCGTTCGCCTCCTATTCCATAAAAAAATCAGTTCAACAACAATTCTTTGTTTTATAGTTGATGAAGAAAATCCAGTTGAAGAGGTAGTTCAAATTGTTGTACCTGACGAAGGAACAGTAGAGTGGATTCAGTACTGGCATGAATTTGAAGGTCATCTTCCCACCCCCATAGACGTATCCATTACAGGATCTATGCTCTACAGATGTCCTGAACTAAAGTGGTACAATTTTGATGTGTACCCCCACAAAGTGAAGCTTACTAATACTGGATACACTTGTAAGTGAATACTGTTACCGCCTGAGGCCTCTGATTGGCCGGCCAATGAACCAACCAATCAGAGCGCCGAATGCGTACTCGTTACTATTACTTTAAACTACGTAAATCAAACTCGTGTCGTGGTGGCCCGGAGGTTGAAGACACCTGCTTCTCATGCACGAGGGTGCAGGTTCGAAACTTACCAACGGCAAGTACCAATGTGACTTTTTCTGAGTTAAATGTACTTTCTAAGATTATTTAGACACCACTGACCAACGGTGAAGGAGAACATCGTGAGGAAACCTGGGCTTATAATTTCTAATTATAAGTTTGAAATCGCCAACCCGCATTGAGCAAGCGTGGTGATTATTGCTCTAACCTTCTCCATGTGAGAAGAGGCTTTGCTCAGCAGTGGGCATTTATAAGCTGTTGATGATGATGATGATGAAATCAAACTCGTACTAAGGCCTCTGTTATTGTATTTGTCTGATACATGATTAATAATAAAAAAAAATATGTGAGACAAGATAATCCCTTTATACCTAAATATCAAAACGATCATTAAAATCCTAGAAATATAGTGAAAAAGTGAAAAGTGGGTGTTACATTGTATAGTGGCATTGAGTGCCGTAATGTGCACCTCTGCCTACTCCTTCGGGGATAAAAGGCGTGATGTTATGTTATGTTATGTCCCATTTATTAGGGGGAGAGCCTATTGTCATATACCGGACATAATTCCAAACTCTGTGCTACTACTGAGATTTTTTTTAAAACCCAGTAATACTTTGCCCAACCCTGAAATCGAACCCGAGACCCTTTGCCCGTCGCACTTGCGACCACTCGGCCAACGAGGCAGTCTTTTTGCGATATCATTATACCGGGTGGACACGACCCCGGACTAGATGATACACTAATTAATAATCTAATAAAAAAAAAACGCAAGTAACCAACATATGAACTTAAAACTAAACCTCGATCTTGGCTTATTTTCAATATACCAATGAATCATTTACAAATAGCAAAACAGCAAAAACAATGAAGTACTACTACGAACAACAACTCGTGACCCAGTTAACAAACCCGTAGATGTTGCCTAAAACTTTAATTAACTGTATAGGCATGTTACTGGGACAAAACTGCCTACAGGGCAGACTAATGTCGTTAATTATTATGCCTACGTGGCCTAGTCGTTCTAAACAATTACTTTCAACCTTTGGTCCTAACTAACCGGCTGCTTCAAGCTAGTTTGTATAATATGGGCATTTAACATACTGCCTGTCTTCACGGAATAAAGGCTTGAGTGATGAGTGACATAGAAGGTTCATGGATCGTTCTAGAAAGGAATCGTATTGCCGTATGTGCGTGATTTATTCGTTTTATTTATGAGGGTCCTGTTTTGTTTAAAAATGGGTTCGACAGCTTGATCTTTTGCCGCCGCGTTGTGTCGCCGCGACGCTAAAATCGGCAGTTTGCGTTGCGGTGCGTTGCGGTGTTGCGGCGCCGTGAAAGAGAGCGTTTTGTTGTCGTTCGGTAGGATAACCAGTTCGTCGTGATTTTTTATTGTGGATAGACGTGTCTCTGCCATGGACCATCGTGAAAAACTTATTGCGTATTTGTTATTAAGAAGACATTACTCTGCTATGCTAGAACGAGCGCTGCGTGGCAGTTTGCGCCGCAACCCCAACTGCCGATTTTAGCGTTGCAGCGACGCAACGCGGATATGTGTTCTATGTAGAGGATTGTATTCCAGACTAGGTATATTGTTTAAAATTCTTATATTATTGTAACTATGTAGAAATAGGTGTATGATGGGTTTGATATAACAGCCATGATTGTGAAGCGAATTGTAAATCGCCGTTTGAAACATCAAACTTGTAGGTAGTCTCTTATACGGATCATATGACATCCGAAAACTTAAAAGTAGGGATATTGAAAAATAATTATATTCTGCCCTACCATAACCTTGGACTTCTCAAGATAATAGATATGACATCATGTTATCCTCTCCCCCACACATAGTTCCTATGACGTCATTACCAAAAACAAATACTACATACATACACAATATACAACAATCGGCCACAGAAGATCCATTCATGCGAGGCTGATATTGAACCCCGGATTAATAGTCTATGGAATACGAATCGTTCATTAGATTAAATCCTGAGTGAATTGCTTATACAGAATTGGGTATAGTGCGCTTATCGTGTTTATGTTGGCAACATGTAATTACGGGATCCAGGTCGGACTGACCAAACATGATGGACGCAACAATAGCGTCTCAAGTACCTATCAAAAACGTATTGCTTATTATTTTATTGGTATCTAGACTTTTTGGGTGGCTAGGTTTCGTCTAAGCCTTAGACTAGTTGCAAATCTTTGTACGCCGCATAGTAAGTACCGGCAAACTAGAATAATTTTATTTAATGATTCCCCCATTTTTTCTACGGTTGTCTTACTAACGAGTACCAACTCAAAAGACTAGGCATTTGACAGAGACCTAGTTTGGTAGTACGGTAGCGCTCTGATAATTTTTAAATCTTTTTTTATGGAATACACCAGTAAACGAGCAAACGAATGGTAAGCAATCGGTGTCGCCCAAAGACACTTGGAACACCAGAAGCGTTACAAGTGCGTTACCGGCCTTTTGGGGATTCAAAATTTGAGCAGAGATTGGGGTGACTGAGGAAATGGGGAGGATTGGGTCTCCGGTAAACTCACTCACATGACGAAACAGAACGCAAGCCTTGTTATACGTCGTTTTTCTGTAAGGCCGTGGTATCACTCCGATCGAGTCAGCCCATTTGAGCCGAAGTATGGCTCTTTTAAGTATAGCACCTTTATAAACTTTCAATTCTATGCTTGGCATAAAGATTATGACAAGCCCTGTTGAGTAGAGGAGGTCCATAGTTCAATAATATACAGTTACGAGCCGATGAAGTTTATGTTGTTGTATATCCTGTAACTCAAAATTACCTTGATATGAATAATATGAAGAGTGAAAATGAAATATAATATTATCTTCAATTTAATATAAGGTTTAACAGTTAATTACAAATATTTCTGGTAAATAAATTATTAAACATTCTTTGTAAGAATACAAATTACCCGCATCATATTATTATATCAAGCTTTTAATTTTTCGTTCGTCATGTTCTCAGAAATAATGTTCGGGAAAAATACCGACGTAATAATTTCTCGCTTCGATAATTCTATCAAAGGATGAAAGATGATAATGATAAGTCGAGACGGTGATTATTATAACACAGAAAATTTAATAAAAATGGGTTTTTACTGCGCTTCAAATTGTTATTTTAGTGATTTTTTTTTAAGGGGGAAAATCATTGATTGACTGCTCCCGCCTGGGTGAGGGAGTGTCAGACTCTTACTGACTTAAAACCACCCCGTTGCTTCTCCTGCTCTTCGAGCCGGAGCCCCGGTAACCTGTTAGGTTATCCGCTACTGTTATTTTAGTGATAGTCGATATATTTGACAAGCGTATAAGAATCAATCGATTTTTAATAACTATGGCGGTTGTAAAAATTCACCTCATGGCAGATTACGGCTATCTGGTAAGCAACAGATGGTAGAACCCTCTTTTGCTCGTTATAAACAAAGTAAAATAACATAACATCATGCTTTTTATCTCCGAAGGCAGAGGTGCACATTACGGCACTTAATGCCACTGTACAGTGTAACACCCACTTTTCACTATTTATGTTGAGTCCCATGTAATAGGGAGTGAGCCTATTGCTATATACCTACCGGGCACAATTCTAGACTCCGTACAACTACTAAAATTTCTATTTAACTCGTCGAGTACCGGTTTTATAGACACAATTAAAGAACAATAGGTCGCGGTCACCGGTGACCGCTTGGTATTTGACAGATTAAACCCAGTAGTAATGTAAATGATAAACAAACAAGTGAACAGAGAGTATAGTTCCCTAAGATCGGAAAAGGAGGATCCTCCGACCAGGCGAGGTGATCGTGCCTGGCGGGCTTTCTGCCCAACAGTTGTTCGTTGGATTTTTCTATCCGTGTTTATTAGCTTGTAAACTTTGCATGTGCGATGTAGGATTCTTATGACGTCATCCGTTGATTTGTGACATGTACAGTAAAATATATAAATAAATATTTCTCCAGTGGTAATATCACCTAAATGGAAGACTGAACGTCCATATTTGGAAGGTGGGCCATTTCTGGAGAAACATGTGCTGTCACAAATACATTTCCATTGGGGTGCTGACATGATGGAGGGCAGCGACCACACAGTCGACCAGAGGAGGTACCCTGGTGAGATGCAAGTGAGTAAAACAGAATATTAATTTTGTAACAGAACTTATCGCAATAAAACACCGACCTTGTGAAACAGAAACTGAATTTTAGGTTTTTGACTTCTTTCATACATAATGCATTCGTAATATCACGCCTTTTATCCCCGAAGGGATAGGCAGAGGTGCACATTACGGCACTTAATGCCCTTTAACAATGTAACACCTACTTTTCACTATTTATTTTATGATCATTTTTCACCATGTAATAGGGGTTGAGCCTATTGCCATAGCCAAGGAGTTTGGGATTGTGCCCAGTACACAATTCCAAACTCCTTGCTACCATTGAGATTTATAAAAAAAACTCAGCAATACTTTGCCCGACCCGGGAATTGAACCCCTTGCCTGGCAGTCGCACTTGCGACCACTCGACCAATGAGGCAGTCAGTATTAATTTCTTATACGTCGAAAAGTGAGTTGAAAGTATGGAGCGGGTCCTATGGGTGAAAATGTATCACGTAGGTAGCTCGCTCTTGTACCTATAGTACCTATTAATGTAGTATTGAATATCCATAACGAAACAAACCTTTTTTTAACCAGTACCTAAGTAAAGGTTAATGTGAAATGTTAATTTCGAGATAGACAATAATATCCAAAATTTTCCAAAGTTTTGGAAAACGTAGACAAAAAAAATATAACGAAAAGATGACATCAATACTTAACGAGTTTTAGGTGGCTCCTAAATTTAAACGTTTAGATTGAAGAGCCATGTTTGCATTAAAATAACTAGTGATATATTTTGCTGCTAAATCTAGAATTCGTGCTGCAAAATAAGCTTAACTGCTGCTAAATAAATAAATAGGTAAATAGCGAGGTCAAATTTAAAAAGTCCTGATATATAACTCCTCAATCCTTACCGACATAAAAAATTTGGCACCTAATAATCTTAATAACTCGAATGACAAGGCTACCAGTGGGATTATCCACACGTAATAGTTCCTGAAGCAAATACTTATCGGAAACGTGCTTCATATAAAAGACATTAGGAACACCATCATGCTAGCTACAACCCATAACCCATATCGTAAAACTAAAGGAATTTCCTTGCAGCCGTATCTAAATAGCAATGTACTACGAAGGAAGTTCAATTTGTGTGTCCTAGATAGTAGCCATTTGTAGCACTGTTTTGTTTTTGTCATCAGTGCCTTTAGCTAAACGCCACTTTAGCGCTTGCCTACAGAGAGAGTAGAAAACTAAATGTATGGGGATGACACTGACAAGTGTCAAAATTTACGTCAATTCCATATAATTTGGTTTTCTATTCTACATGTAGACAAGCGCTAAATGGCTTTTGGCTACAGCTGCAGTTCTGCTTAGTGACGAGATGCATTCGAACATTTATTAGGTTTTTGGGATTGCAACACTTTCACTGATAAGTCAAGTGTGATGATGTGTTAAAGCTTCTTGTTTTGTATAATTTTAATCATAACTCAAATTCACTATTCCAAAGTGTGTTAACCAAGGTATCAAAGTATAATCTTTATTATACACATCTGTGTATCCGCCGTCTATAATAGATGAGGTTATCCGCCGTCTATAATAAATGAGGCCGATAGTCCGGTAGCAGATTTCTTATTTCTTTTTAGGCTATTGTTGTTGATATCATTTATTATCTAAACCCAAATAGGGTACTGTTATTCTAAGCGACTCGTCAGTTAGAAGGCAATCCCACGTTTGAGTCGCAAGATTTTATATAAAAATTTATAATTATATTCACATTAACGTCCTAGACTACAGCCACAGTCGCGCGGTTGTCCTAGTGAAAGGCTCGGCCCCAGTCAAGATCAGGAATTTGGGCTGAAAACCAACAAGTTGGGCTAGATCCAAAGATCACGATTATGTCAGCACCTGACACAGAATCTGCACTGAATTTGGGAAAATAATGATTATTTATAGCAAACAATTGCTGATGTAGAATTTTGTGATTGACGTAAATCAACGCAGTTCTAATATACAGGCAGTTTGGTGATACGGCAAAAATGCAGGTCATTGATGTAGTAAGCATGATTATCACTTTATCAGACTGCCTCGAGTTCGATTCTCGGGTCGGGCAAAGTATTGCTGGGAATTTTAAAAATTCTCAGTAGTAGCACGGAGTCTGGAATTGTGCCCGGTATATGGCAATAGGCTCACCCCCTATTACATGGGACTCATAACATAAATAGTTAAAAATGGGTATTACATTGTACAGTGGTATAATGTGCACCTCTGCCTACTCCTTCGGGGATAAAAGGCGTGATGTTATGTTATGTAATATTGAGATTTTTAGGGTTCTAACAGTACGTGAAATCAATAAGGTTCACTCACGCTCGTACACTATCAAACAACGCCGAGGTACAGTTGCCACAATACAATTTTGCTTACTTTGACAAGGAAACAATCTGTCATATTGCTCGCTTATAAACTAGAAGAAAGGCTTATACAAAACAATGTAGGTACTCTTCATAGATCCGCAATATCATTTTGATTTCCCTAGGGCGCTTTGAGATGTTTTTCCGGCAGTCTTTTTCATAAGGGACGGGGTTTAAAGTAAAAGAATTTTATATGGGGCGCCATAAAGCCTGTAGGTACTTGACGATTTTTACTTACCGTATTTTGGTTCAAGTGGTCGTGTGGGTTAAATGGTAGTAATTATGATCGCCAAGTAGGATTTGGAACTGCTTATGTGTTACAAAGACCATTATTGATAATATATACCGTAAAACGAGGTGAATAGAATTCGAGGGGTGAACAAATACAGGAACGGGGTGAATAAGTTTTAGACTATTTTCCCAACATTTATTCACCCCTCTTCTGTATCTATTCACCCCTCAAATTCTATTCACCCCGTTTTACTGTAATTATCAACAGCCTATAAATACCCACTGCTGGGCAAAGCTTCTTCTCACACGGAGAAGGTTTGAGCATAAATCACCACGCTTGCTCAATGCCGGTTGGTGATTTCAAACTTAGGTATTATTAGAAATTATAAGCCCTTCCTTACGATGTTTTCCTTCGCCGTTTCTCAGTGGTGTTTGAATAATCTTAAAAAGTACATATCGACGGCCCCCACGTATACTATCGAAATTGCAAAAAAGCTATTTTCGTTTTATTGCACTAATAGCAAGTAGAGATAAAGATGTTTAATTCTATATAAAAATTATGTATCAATTTTTATACCTTCAACTATTTTTCAATCGAACAAAATCGATAATACATAAAATGAACATACTAAAACATCGAACTTGCCACTTTCGATATTATACGTGATCAGTGGTACGTCGGCGCGACACGAAACTACCTGTTTCGTCAGTGTTACCCGAATATGTGAGCGGAACGCACGCGTGGATTTTAAAGTTAGGTTTAGGCTAGTTTTTATGAGTTTTAGTTCAAAATGAATAGAAGAGGTTTACAGATGATAAATCTGATAAAACAACGCAGTGAAGGTGCACTAGAACATATTATTACTCCCGAAACAAATGTTAATCAACCCGGTAAGTTTAAAGTTTTTTATTCTATCATGCGTTTTTTTTTGTTTAAAATCTAAAACGTAACAAATATTTAAAGTTGTTATTGGAACCTGTGTAGTGACGGTCTATTTATGACAAAAATTAGTCAATTTTTTGTTGTTTTGGAATAATTGATTTTAAACTATTGAAAGTGGTACATTCGATACTATACTGGTACAAAGAGTAAATTTGTTCCATCAAATGTACCATTTTCGATAGTTTTCCTTGGTATTTGTACTAGCAAATTTATCGAAAGTGGTACATCCGATACTTTTTTCTGCCATGAACACATTGAATGTACCACTTTCGATACTTTACTACGACAAAGTAATAGATTGCCCTGCATTTTCGATATTATGTTGTATTAATTTGATTTTTTTTGTATTTTCAGAATCTCCAATGCAGTGTCAATTCACGCTTGAGGAGTTATTTAAATGACATTTACAATGAAAATGATGCGGTTGATGGAAATATTGTTCATAATGATTCTGATATCTTTATTTTTGATAGTAATGAATGTACTCCGGTTCCATCTCCTAACTCTATTCAAGATTTTGATTGGCCAATTGGAAAGCTCCAGGCCCGGATGGACTGCATAATTTTTGGATAACATGGTTTATCAGTTCGCATAATTGCTTGGCATCTCAATTCCAGTCAGCTTTGGAGTCTGGATCTTTGCCCCAATTCTTTACGACAGGCTTAACCCACCTGCTCCATAAATCTGGAAGTACCACGGAACCCAAAAACTATCGGCCGATTACGTGCCTACCCACAATTTACAAACTTCTTACATCCATTTTGAGACCAAAGCTTAATAAACATATTGAAGACAATCATATCATGTCTGCCTCTCAAAATGGATGTAGGAATGGATCCCGTGGTACTAAGGAGCTGCCTATGACTCCGTGCCACATACAAGGCTCATGAGGGTGCTAGAGCTGTACAAAGTTGATACAGCTCTACGTACCTTTCTGATGTCATGTATGACACAATGGAGAACGGTTCTTCGCTATCCAGGATGTGGACAGATCTGTGGGAACGATGAACCCATTAGGATTGAGCGGGGTATATTTCAGGGTGATATTTTGAGTCCATTATGGTTTTGCTTAGCCCTGAATCCTCTAAGTACTCTGTTGGAGGGCTCGGGGTTAAGCTATAGGTTGAGAAGAGGGGGACAAATTATATCCCACCTACTTTACATAGATGACTTAAAGCTATTTGCTCCAAACAACTTGCATCTAATGAGATAATCTAATGAATAATTACTGAATGTCACTGAAACGTTCAGTAATGCCATTAGGATGGAATTTGGTGTGGACAAATGTGCAGTTCTACATGTAAAGAGGGGGGAAATTATGGAATCAGATGGTACACAGAATTCTGATTCTACAAGCCTCAGACCCCTTTCCTCAACCGAAACCTATAAGTACTTGGGTATGTCAGAAGCGTTAGGCATCGATGTGACTGTCATGAAGCAATCGTTAC